AGAAGAAGAAGAAGAAGAAGGAGAAGAATGATTTATTGATGACACCTTTCTACATAGTAGCTATACATTCATCAAACTAATGTATTAAAATCTAATAAATAACAGATCTTGTTTTAACTTGCAGAGTTCTTATCAGTTTATCGAAAGAGCAGTAGTGTCATTTATATATAATAAAACAAGATCTGTGAGTTAATATTGAACAGCTTCAAGGACTCATGAATAATGCACGACCTTTCGTCCAATTAGAGTGACCATCACGTCACAAACGTTATATCTCGATCTCGTACCCAGAGCCTGCGTTTCTTCTGGTCTGCGGCGAAAAACGTTCTTCGTAGATAGGTTTGTTCGTCACTGTCATGCGCAGTCAATCCAAAAGGCTCTCACAAGTGTAGGATGCCAATAAATATCAAGACAAGGGCACTAACCGACGCGATTTTGGATCAAGTTCGCATGGATCATGGAAAATTTGAGTTTTGTAAGTTTAAGATCGATCAGAAGGGAAATATGTTGTCAAGACTGGTCTTTGCATTTGTTCCAAACTGTTACGTGAAAGGATACAATGAGCAGCTTGCGCCTGGTCATAACTTTTAGCTGCATTTAGGCTGCACAACCAATGCTATCAACGACGCCTTCACTACTGACGTAACACCGACACAGCCCCAAGGAGGTTATAGCAATGCGCCACGAAAACGAGAACTAACGTTTTTGTGCATGAATATAGCACAATGCGCCTTTGCCATCGATGTCGTCTACGTAATATAGAGACCTTTATAACTTTCATATACTTTATCAAATTCCTGATCTAAGTCAGGTCAAGGCTAACTCACAGACACATATATTTTAAAATAGCTTTATGCATTTTCCAGTACCCGCAAAACAGCTTCATTTAATGAGTGGTTGTAAAATAAATATATTGTTTAGCGATCTCATCATAGTTAACTATGATCTCATTCACCAGAAGTTTGGCACTACACGTCAAGCAGGCCGACCAAATGGTTGGCACTGGAGAGAAGGGGCCCGAGAAGGGGGTTCGTTACGTCCTCTTCACTGAGTCAGATATCATTGGAATTTGGCGTGTTATAGGTTTTTTCAACGGAGAGAAACTCGGGAAAATCCAAAGGAAAAAAACCCATGAATTAAATTAGAGAAGTAGAAGTTGCGCATTATATTAAGACTGAATTAGCAAAACTATCATCATTATCATGTTGTAGATACTATAGAAAAAGATGTTCAATTTTTAAATATAAAAAAAGCTGTACTTTACCATCTTCCCAAGGATATCTTCGAGCATTGGTTGATACCAGAACGGTAACAAATACCAGTATTAGTACGTAGCTTCTCGTTACCATGTTGACGCCTGCAAACAGCAAGTTGTATATATTTTAATTAACCGAGCACTGATCAAACTGTGTAGCTGTGATTCTAGTTCGACCACAGACGCTGTTTCAATTTATATGTTACGGAATATCATACGCAAACCGCCGCCGGATGAGTACTCCTTTGACGTACGCATTCATGTAAATGACAAAAACAGCCCATGACCTTTCGCGCTGCTGGAATCTAGGCTACCGATTGTGCTTACTTACCCGCACCTAGAACTTACGAGAACCCCAGCTCCAGACCAATGCACAAATAAATTACAACCCTGTCCTTAAACAAGACACGATTTGCCTGCTAACATGTATATCTATAAACCAATAGCTTTAACTGCACTCCCGAGGCTTTTATTTTTGGTTTAAGAAATGCAACTCGATAGCCACAACATTCTAGACGAGTAGCTCCACCTAGGAGATTGAGTTTCATTCCGGAGGGTGACGTTATGTCAGGATATTTTGAAAACGTCCGACAAGGAAATTGGTCGTGGGTGATTCATTAAAATATTCCTTTACTATGCACGAAGAATTTTTTGGAGTGCAAAACTACATGACTTGAAAACCAGCGAGATATAGATAACAATGAAACTGCCGCCATTTGGGTTGACCTAACAAGAGAAATGAGGAATGCTATGTTTGATTAGTTGTCGTCAACCAACACGACGGATAAATGTGACATTACGCATCAATGAAGGAAACATCTACTTGATACCCTAAACATTATTACGGAAGTACGATTTTAGGCTGTTTTGGGCAATAAACACATTTTTTTACTGGGTGTGCGGGCACAACACTTAACCCATCTAAAGCTCCCACACGGCTCTTTAAATTTCCAGACGATGTATTCATAATATTTATAAAAATGCCTCATGTTATGCGCGCAATACTGGCTCTTCAGTTTAATCAACTTCCGTCGTTTTTATGTTATCATTCTGAAGCATAAGGGTTTTTAACGTTATAATGGTAAACAGGTTTGTCTGTTTACTCGAGAGCGGTCATTTTTATCGCATACGACCTCCTCCCGGGCTCCTTTCTCAACTTCCCAGGCGATAAAGAGGGTCCTGCCCATGTTTGCAAAATCCCGCCATGTTGTCAATGAACCAACCGGTTAAGCCTCGAGCTACTTGGTGAGCACGCTGGCACCGTTAATGAAGAAAGAGCGGGACTGGACAACCGGAAGATGTAATTTCTGACTCTACTGCGCATGTTTGGGTTCAAATAAGTTGCCACTAATTTGCTGAATCAAAACTGATTATTTATAACCTTCTATTTTTTTTTGTTTTGTTTTTTAACTACTTAAATTAGTGGACAAATTAAATAACATTCCCATTTTAACGATTTTATTTATTTGTAATGTCTAAATCCCATTCCCAGTGTATTAAATCCCATTTTACCAACTAAGCCAACCTTCAGGATCCTCAATGAATAATAACCGGTTCCTTATAGAGAAAAATGCTGGTTAACCTTAGGGCACTAATTGCTGGATTCCTCGGCTGGATTTAACTTTGTTTTCCTTAATTTCCGTAAAATAACAATTGATATCAAGATTTTGAATGACCTTCTTTGTCGATAGAAATCATACATCGGAAGCGGATTTCGATGTAGGCGTAAGATGATTTACATATCTCAATTAAACCTACGTCGAGTTCCGTTTCCGATATTAAGCTCGCGTTAAGTCCGGTGAAAATTTTTGTCGGTGAAAATCGTCATTTCAAATCAATAAAATGTTACGAGTTAAATATTTACAGTAAAACTAAAGTAATGTAAGTATGAGACATCCTTGGCTAACGATCCTTGGCTATCCATTGTGTTATAATGTGCCTTTGTCATAATTAAGAGTGGGCAAATTAAAGCGACTATCCCGAGACATATGGGAATACAAGAGACTTTCCTAACATTAATTATTCTTGTTTGAGAATGGTCGTTCAATGCCTGTTATGTCAATGAAACTGTTGAGTGTGGTATAGCCGCTGTTCGTACAATACGAAGGGGCTTGAGATCGAGATACCGGGCTGATCAATGTAGTCTTTGCCCAAGTCCTTCAGCTCTGCACTGTCACACTTGCTGATAAAATTTTGCTTTGCACATTCCGCGGGAGACAAGAGAGGCAAGCACGTCCATGTTACGTGTTGTAAGTATAAAAATAGCTTCGCATTGGAATATCTATCTAGATCTAAAAAAAAATTGATGAATAAAAATTACAACAAAAAATACAAAAAAATAGCTTTTCTGGCGATTTTCTTTCCGTGTCGATCGGTTATTCACTTATATCGGTTATTGCTGACATTGGTTATTACTTATCTAAAGTGATCTCCCTGTAATAAAATAGGCTCTTTTTCACAGTTGGGCATATTCAAAAGAGCACAATTATCCATTCTTTAGAAAGAACGTAAAACTTGGCTCTTCCGGTAAGCCTTAATTAATTTATGATTATTTTTATTATTTTTATTACCTTTCATCGATTTAATACTATTTTGTAATTTAAGTTTCAAATTATTTTTGATGTAAGATTTGTACATTTATAGATATATATTTGTTTTAATATATAGTATAGTACTTTATAAAATAACTGTTATGAATGTCGCGTTCTGATTGGTTTGGAGCGCGTGCTTTATGAGAGCACATTGCACGCGCGACCACTTTCCGTTGCGTCATTCCTATCTATTATTGTAATTTGTATTTTATAAAAGAAATAAAAAACTTGCTTGTTGTGCTGTGTGCAGTCATAAAGCACTTGGGGATTGGCAGAACACTCGAGAAGTGTCCAGAAGCACTCCTCTACACATCGTGCTTCTCCTAACACTTCTCTCGTGTTCTGCCAACCCCCGCGTGCTTTATGACAGCACACAGCACTCGCGCGTGTTTTCTATTTCTTCAATATATACACTGACATTGACATTGGCGTTTTGTATTCAGAACCTGCCATGATGCAAGCTGCATCGACACGTTGTTCGTTTCTTATACTTAATTTTGTAATTTGTAGTACATCAAAATCGTTGTTGTTGTTATTATTATTATTATTATTATTATTATTATTATTTCCCTTTTCAAACCTCTTGGAAGTGGTATTTCATTTATACTACCAGATCACTTATTACTGGCTCGATAAGAGAATAACACCCAAGGGAATGACATTTAATAATGAAATAATGAAAACAAAAAAATGATTGGGATGAGCAAACTTCCGTCACCTGATAAAAAAGTTTTTCTCGGTGCCTCGGTAAGGCCGTAATCCTTTAAATCAAATCCCGACCGGATAAACTGAGCTTAGTCTCCTACGCAACGCTCACTTCCCAAATAACGACTGTGATAAATAAAAGGCTAACACCACAAACTTTCCAATCCCGTCCGTTTCATATTCGACTTATCAGCAGGTAGATCCGATTACAAAAATTTTTCTCCATATAACTAAAATAAATAAACGCACTAAGGGCCGGTCATATTACATGGTTGAATTAGAAAAAGAAAATTGTTATACTCTTATGGGATGCTTGTCGTATCTCTTAGGGGTAAAAATTCGCGATTTGGTATCTTTTAGGGTGTTAAATGCGAATTTTTGAAAATCAGCATTTTCTGGTATCTCTTATGGTGTCGGAAAAGAAGAGAAGCGCGCATCGATACGGCTTATCCTAGGCGCTTTTTATATAGGATTTAATATTATTTGTTGTGGTATGTCTTAGGCGTTAAAAATCACGAGCACCCACAGCTCTTTTTTCCCGGAGCCCCCCCCCCCCCCCCCCGGGGGCTCTTACGTTCCTTTTTTTTCTTGGTTTTCACGTCAAGACAAATGTATTCAAATGTACTAAATCATGTAAATTAATCTTGGTAAACTATTATGAGAAACAATGATAAACTTTTGAGACACATGTGATCGTTTTACCGATTTAGCATCACCAAGCCGGGCTCCCTGTGCAGGAGCTCGACGTTTGAATCAGTGTCGAACTTTTGCCGTGCGGCTCGACYGGCGCGGTCGACCATCGCCAACTATTCCGGTCATGCGCCTGCGTGCAAATGCAGCGKTGTCACTTGAAAGTGTTAGGCGAGTTAAGTCACATTTTTACAAGGAAATGTATAGAGAGTCAAGATGGTTTTCGATTTATAAATTTCTGTGTAAACAGTTTTCCACTTGCCGGGGTAGAAGAACAATATATAACATTAAAGCATTTGATTTTTATCAAACATGCTTTAATTTGTTTGGAAAAACCTTTTCGTCTCGATAGTTAGATTTTAACAGCCTTCTTGCCATATGTGCTTTGTCAAATATTATGAACAGGATTTCTCAAAATCAGAACTAGTTACCTCATTTGCTGGGGTCAATCTTTAAAATACACACATTCTAAATTACTGTTGTCGAATCTTCCTGGTCGATTGAACGAATTTATAGCTTTCGTTTTTTACTTTCAAAAAGCTCCGATTTGAGACGAGTATTTGTGAGATTCTTTCTTCAAGAATAGGCAATTTGTTAAGTAAAAACCTTGGAAATTATTCGCAAAATACGGCATGTTTGGTACCAAAATAAAGCTTGAACCCTCAGCTCTCGTTTGCCATCGTTTGCAATAGGATACCTATTAAAGCACAGGAATACCGTAGCGAAAAGTTTTGATTCTCTAAGTCCGGGCCTGAGAGAGCTTGGGCTTCCTGTGGTTTTTATTTCATATAAGATATCCGCCGACTTGGCGAGCGTCGCATGGCCGAAATAGTTATGGCTCAGTACCGTGTCGAACCTAATCCAGTCGTACCGAACTTAATTGGTTCATGCGTCGCACCTTTCATGTGCCAAATAGATACTATTAGGTTCGGCACATGAAAAGCGCGACGTATGGATCGCGCCTTTAAGTAGTAGTAGTAGTAATAATAATAATAATAATAATAACAACAACAACAACAACAACAACAACAACAACAACAATATAATAATAATAATAACAATAATAATAATAATAATTCTAGCGCATTACATAAATATCTCAATGCTCTCACAGTATAGAATTAAATGAATATATATATATAAAATGTAAAGTGAATAAATCATATATATATATATATATATATACTCGATTGCAGAAACGTTGTAGTATACATTTATACATTTAT